TTTTCATGTACGAGCCTAATAATATCCTTTTTAAGTTCTCTAAAAACTAATCAAGATCTCTTTCATGTTAACAATTGAGTCAATGATAGGTTCAAATATATCTTAAATTATAACAATTATTAAAGAAAAAAAATGTGTCCTTTTTAAGTTCTCTAAAAACTAATCAAGATCTCTTTCATGTTAACAATTGAGTCAATGATAGATTCAAATATATCTTAAATTATAACAATTATTAAAGAAAAAAAAATGTGTTGTTCAAGATGGAGTACAACTGGTACAATTTTACCTTTGGATCACACAATCATGGTCTAATTTTTTTAATTTTAAATCTTAAACAATACCCCCACTTTCATATATAATGAACATGCTATTGACTATTCAGTTTAACTTGTTATTGTATTTTATAGTTTATTTACTATACATTAATAATAATGCATAACCAATTTTCTTAAATTACTTATTCTGCAGTCGTCACCAGTGACTAATATATACATAGGCAAACTGCAAATATTGTTTCTATTGAACACAACTATATATATTTACTTGACAGATGATTTCATCATCCAATGTTCACTGCAAAACGTCACACGCGAATCACGTGCCAGCTACAATTTCCCATTTGCTCTCTCTTGTCTTATTTGAAAGATACAAAATATAGAAAATAAATACTAATTGCAGTTTTTACTAAATATTGTTTTGTTTTTTTGATAAAATAAATATTGATTTTGGTACTCTAAACTATCGTCTCAGTCGAATTTAAAGTTTAGTATTTTTGGCCGTTATCTATTTTTAGAAGTTTTTTGCAGGCGTGTTTTCGCTTATTCTATGTTGAGCAGTAACAAAGTGATTATAGTCTGTTTGGAATTGTCTGTTTGTCGCATGGTGCCATATATTTTGATGAAATCGAAATATACCTCTTCTGACCATCTTTAGAGGAACCGTAAGTGACATCATACTGCTGCGGTGAGGTGAACGGACTCTCTTCGTTTTCATAGATTTTCTGTGATCATTCACATTTCTCCGTCTCAAACGGGCCTTTAATTTAGGCCACTGACGAAGCCCCAGTTAATCCCATTTCAAGAGATAAGCCCATTTGTGGATTTTACTTGGACTGTTATTTAATATTTTGGGCCACTATCCACAAATTAATTGTTTTACATTATTTCATTTCTTCGTTTTTTGGGTGAAAATTATATTCTCATGATAAATCATAAATGTACTATAGCAACTCTCTCGTACCTTCGTCACCGCCGAACTATACAAATATATATATCTCTCCATCCGTATATATCCGTTGCACCGGGTCGGTGCAGGGATATCCAAATGCAGCACGTCAAATTGCAGAACGCCACGTGGCATACACCTATTAAGGAAAATGATCATCATCCAAAAATACTACTACTACAAGAAAACTTAGGAACAGAACAATTAGTTACCAGAGGCGGAGTCCATTATTAAGCTGTCAAAAGTTTGGTGAGAGAGAGAGAGAGAGAGAGATTAGTGACGTGGCATAAAAGAAATTATTGAAGAAAAAAAAAAGAAATGGGGGTTTTGGATAATCTGTCGAACGTGTTTGATTGCTCAAGTGGCCATTCCAAAAAACTCAAGAAACGCAAACAGCTTCAGGTTTTCTTTTTTATTCTCTAAACACACACATGTGTGTGCAATTATTACAGCTATGATTTATTTTCTCATTAAATGAATATTTTTTATTTAAAATAATTGGTAAACAGATAGTGGAGATAAAGATAAAAATAGACTGCGAAGGATGTGAGAGAAGGGTGAGAAAATCAGTGGAAGGAATGAAAGGGGTGACGTCAGTTGAGGTGTCACCTAAGCAGAACAAGCTGACCGTCATCGGCTATGTGGTCCCGGAGAAGGTGGTGGCGCGTGTGGCGCACCGCACTGGAAAGAAGGCTGAGCTTTGGCCCTACGTGCCGTACGATGTTGTCGATCATCCCTATGCACCCGGTGTGTACGATAAAAAGGCCCCAGCTGGTTATGTACGAAGCGCGGAGGATCCTCAACTTTCGCAGCTGGCGCGTGCGAGCTCCACCGAGGTGAGGTACACCACGGCTTTCAGCGATGAGAATCCTACCGCTTGTGCTGTCATGTGATCTTAAGAAGTTGAAGCTTTTTTTTTTTTTTTTTTTTTTAATTCTGTTTTTTTTTTTTGTAATGGGCTGTGCTTCATATGGATTTCGATTTCGGTTTCAGTTGTAGAAAGTGAGATTGTTTTATATGTAGATGGTGTTTACGAATCGCGAATCGTTCGATCTGCACCTAATGAAGGAATTATTTGGTATATATTACCACACATCTGAATCAACGACATACAAATATAGCCAACCAACTATTTGATGCTTCAAGAAATATGATTCTTTCCGAGTACAGTGAGTCAAGAATATAGCTTCTTAGGTTATTGCGTCCTCAAAGGGTAGAACTAGAATCGGAAGTTACATGATAATAACATAGAGTCGAAAAGATTCTCTCCTCTAAATGGGATTTTCGATTTTCTTACAGTATACTGCAGGCGTTTTGGCCTTTTCTCTTCTTTTTCCTCCTTTGCTTCGGTGGCTGTAGAACAACCTTAATTGCAGCATCGAACACAGCCTTGATATGCTGCGATATTTGGAAGAAGAAAATGAAGATTATGTCATTACCGTTAATGCAAGAAACATGAAGTCTTGCAATTAAAACGTAAATTATAATTTGATGTTTCGAAGTACGATTCTTCTAACCTGTTGTGTCTTGGCACTACATTCAATATAAGCAGATGCCCCAATCAACTTCTTCAGGTCCTCTCCCTTTAAAAGGGGATGAAAAATGAAATATACATTAGGAGGGTAAATAAGTCATTTAAAATAACATCGAAAAGAGGAATGATTAGTCTAAATATTAAGTCACATTGCCTATAAAGAGGAGAATTAACAAAAAAATGAAATTAAAAAAAATGAAATATTGGAGTATACCTGGGCATTTGTAATGGGTACGGCTCCGGGGTGGTCTACGAAGAACTGTTTATCCTCTCGAAGATCTGAAAGGAAACAAGCAGTAATGACATACAAATTTAAATAAATTACTTTGCCATAGTATTCGAATCAGATGAAAGCAAATTTTAGGAAATAAGTATTATTGAATTAGAACAGAGAGTGAGAAAAACCGAGATCCTCACCAAGCTTCGTTCCCACAAGAATTACCGGAACTCCCGGAGCATAATGCCTTAGCTCAGGAATCCACTGAAAATGGAATGAAAAGGAAAAATAAAAAAGTTAACCATCAACATTGTAGCCTTTTCATTTTGCTTCACCAAAGAAGAATAAAACTACGAGAATACTTATTTGGAGCTGAAGCATACTATTCATCGATCTACTAACAGAAAATTTAAACCAATGCTTCGTTATGTTTCTTCCCCTTTACACATCATTTTATCAAAGAAATCAGAGAAGTATGAAGAGGTCACCTTCTTGGACACATTCTCATAACTAGCCTTGCTAATAAGAGAGAATGAAAGTATAAAGACGTCAGCCCCACGGTAGCTCAACGGTCTCAATCTATTGTAATCCTCTTGGCCTGCACAATAAACAATGATTGCCAGATTACATGATTGGTTGAGAGATAACGAATTCTAATTTTCTCGGAAATAGTTTACCTGCAGTATCCCATAATCCTAGATTCACAGTGCTTCCATCAACTACGACATTGGCGCTAAAATTGTCAAATACTGTGGGGACGTAATCCTGTTTATATTACATGACGAGTAATCAAAGATGAAAAATATTAACTTCGGCAGAGTAGACCAATCTTATTATATGGCAATAAAATACAATGACAACATCTAATTACACGATGCAGAAATTTTAGGGGTCTATTAATCAAGACTATAGTCTCCTCAAAACTTTGCCACCATCCAACACCATGATCAAATAAGCTTTAACCAAAGGGGTAAGTTAAAAGAACCCTCAGCGAGTGAAACGCTCAAATTTTGAATTCGAGTACATTATCAAGAAAAAGGCGAAGCAGAAGAACTCACGGAGCAAGGACAAATTTCCTCAAAATCTTAACTATAGATACAACTTGTACCAAAGATACACAGTTCATTTAAAATCATATTGCAATAACTCCGTTGTATTTGAATTTAAGTTCCCCTGATTGAACAAAAATATACCCAGAAACACAAGCAGAACAGAAGGAAGGGGAATAAATTCCGTAGCTTAGTTTCGAAAAAGCATAAGCAAAATTGATTTCTTCCACACAAACAAACCCTAGAAGTACATTAAGCATAGTTGGACCACCATTAACATACCCAATTAAAACATCATTCATGAATTCCCCAAATTAAAATAACTCAGCAAATAAAATTAAAAAAAAAAAATTGAAAAAAGGGGGAAAGAGAAATTACAGTGGGAAAGGTGTTGCTGGTGTAGGAAATGAGCAAGCAAGTTTTACCCACAGCTCCGTCGCCAACAGTAACGCACTTTATAAATCTGGAGGCGCTCATCTCGCCGCCGGCGAACTGAATTTATCTCAGCTTTAATTACTGTGAATCCTCCACTCTCTCTCTCTCTCTCTAGATAATTCTCTCTCCGCACCTCTGGTTTAGTAGTTAGTAGCAAATACGAAAGCTCAACTGCAGAAGAGATTAGTTGGAGGAAGAAAGGAAAAGGTATCTTAAAAGGAACGGAATCAAAATACCTAATTTTGAATAATTAAAACCCTAAACAGGGTGCGATTAACCACCACACTACACCTAACTCCAACAGCCGCATTCATTGTTCCGTCAGATTCCACACACAGTGACAGTTCACGAGGTATCAATAGAGACAGAGGCACGTACCTGCTAGAGAGAGAAAGAAGTGTATGCAGCAGCCACAGCAAGTGGTGATTTAGAGAGAGAGAGTTTCTATGAGTGAGAAATTTAAAATAACAAGAGAGACAGCTATGAGCCAGCTATGGAGTAATACACTTATCATTTTGCCAACACAAAATAACGAATCACGGCACAGTTTTTTTTTTTATTTTTTTTTTTTCTTCTAAAAAAAATTAATTTTTGGGGAAAATTTACCTAAATTTTTATACTTGCTTATGAAGTTTGAATAATTTACCAAAATCATATAAAGATTAAATATCACATTCTTTTCTTCATGTGATACGGGCTCCATTATCCAAAAAAGCCCAAATAGTAAGAAACATACGTAAAGCCCGAAAGTAATTTATGTCCATTCTCATCTTGCCCACTAATATTTTATAAAGTTTGTCACTAGCCTCTCGTGGGATACATATAGACGATGGATGTGCCTACATTCGGCCCAATGTTAGGGACATAAGCGTAAATTCTGCAACATGACATGGACCTGGAAAATGCACACTTGCGGCATAACTAGAAGCGAGCTCCCTCCATTGAACACATTCAGACCGTGGATTGCGAGTAAGCTCGCCATCAGCCACCGAGCACATCCCATTATACTGTAGTCATATCACTCAAATGTGTGATCTGACGCAAGATAGAACGGAGGATCCACAACTCCATCCCTACGTCCGGTATAAGTACGGTCTTCAACCACAAGGAAATAACAACTCTCTATCGAGTATAATATTCCTAATGCACAATCATTCTTACAATACTACATATATATTGTTTCTCTACGGTTCCTTCTAACTTGACCGTAATAGTGCTAACGTCGGGAAACTCTTCTTCAGCACTCATTTTTACATATCTTTCGGAATGTGTGGGCTTCTTCTTATGTGGGCTTTTCTTACTCGAGACCCATTCCACTTCTTCAATTGTGATTGAGCCATTTAGACTGTGTTTTCGCATTTTTCGCAAATATATTACAATATGATTGTTGACAAGGTGTCAAAATATGATATGTCAAATATTGTTAGTTTTTGTACAAGAGCACAACATTTAGTTGTTGTGGCCGGGAGATTTCCTCTCGCAGTTGCTTCATGATAACAGACCCAACCTAATTCTTGCCAATAATTGTGTCTCTATTGCTTAATTTATTTAATTAAGAACTATAATTTTC